GCATGCCCCCTGTGGCCTGCCAGAGGTAAGAGCCTACCCATCGAAATGCACCATCCTGGTTCTTGCAGGGAGGTGAGGAGCGGAGGAAGAAAAGATCCATCTCATTCTTTCAGCAGGAACCTAAACTTGGGAAAGCTAGACCCAGTGCATTTCTTAATCCTGATACTTTTATAACTGGTTATAGCGGGGTCACACGCACAACTGTTTTCCAACATCTTTCAACTGGCCATATGACACCATGTAATTTATTTTTTTCTTTTTCTTTTTTAAGGCCGGGGGAGTGACTCACACCTGTAACCTCAACACTTTCAGAGGCTGAGGCAGGAAGACTGCTTGAGGCCAGGAGTTCGAGACCAGCCTGGGCAACATAGCAAAACCCCACATGCAACAGAGAAAAACCCTGTCTCAAAAAAAAAAAAAAATGTTTTTGAGTACAGTGGCATGATCACAGCTCACCATAGCCTCCAGCTCCTGGGCTCAAGCAATACTCCCATCTCAGCAGTTGGGACTCTCAGAGCACACAACCACATCTGGTTAATTTTTAAATTTTTGGTAGAGATGCAGTCTCACTATGTTGCCCAGGCTGGTCTTGAACTCCTGGCCTCAAGAGATCCTCCCAATGTGACCTCACAATGCACTGGGGTTACAGGCATGAGCCACCATGCAGCCCCTGCAAAATCTAACTGTTCTCCAGGTGCTTCTTTTGGGCCTCCTAGCTAGACTGTCATTGGCACACATTTATGTTAATGGATTTCCCATGTTTTATTTCTCTAGACTAGGGTTTCTCAACAGCAGCACTATTGACGTTTTGGGCTGGATAATTCTTTGTTTTGGAGCTGTTTGTGCCTCACAGAATATTTAGCAGCATCCCCAGACTCCGCCTGCTACATGCCAGTAGCACTTCTCAGTGTGACAGCCAAAATGATTTCAGATATTGTCAAATATCCCCAGGGAGGCAAAATCACCTCCAGTTGAGAACTACTGACCTAAAAACCTCTGGAACAATGTTAGATCAAGGTAATGATAGCACATACTGCTCCTGAGCTTAATGGGAATACCTCTGGCATCAAAGTATAGTAGCACCTGTATACTACTGTCTGGGCTGTTATTAGTACACTGTATTAGTCCATTCTCATGCTGCTATGAAGAAATACCCAAAACTGGGTAATTTATAAAGAAAAGAGGTTTAAGTTGACTCACAGTTCTGCATGGCTGGGGAGGCCTCAGGAAACTTACAATTGTGGCAGAAGACACCTCTTCACAGGGCAGCAGCAGAGAGAAGGAGAGCGGAGCAAAGGGGAAAGCCTGTTATAAAACCATCAGTTCTCATGAGAACTCACTCACTATCATGAGAACAGCATGGGAGAAACAGCACCCATGATTCAATTATCTCCACCTGGTCCCACACTCGATGCGTGGGGATTATTACAATTCAAGGTGAGATTTGGATGGGGACACAGAGCCAAACCATATCATATCCTTTATATTAGCGTACTGTATCAAAGTATAACTTTCTTTCCCTTTTATTTTTTTTCCTTTGAGACAGAGTCTTGCTCTGGCTCTGGCTGGAGTGCAGTGGCACAATCTCAGCTCACGGCAACCTCTGTCTCCTGGGTTCAAGCAATTATTGTGCCTCAGCCTCCCAAGTAGCAGGAACCACAAGTGTATGCCACCACACCCAGCTAATTTTGATTTTTTTTTTTTTTTTAGTACACATGGGGTTTGACATGTTGGCCAGACTGGTGTCAAACTTCCGGCCTCAAGTGATCCTGCTGTTTTGGCCTCCTGAAGTGCTGGGATTACAGGTGCGGGCCACTGCACCCAGCCTGAAGTATAATTTTCACAATATGAAAAGCTTGACTTTCATACAAATAATGAAGGAATATATATAAGATATTTTCTTTAATTTACAAGGGAGTCAGCAACATGGTGAAGCTAGTTCAAGGAATATTTTGAGAGACAGTGTCTATAGTGCTCCAGGAAGGGCATTCCGAAATGCATTCTCAGATAGAGACAAAACTTGTTAATATCCTATAGGGAGGCCAGGCATGGTGGCTCACGCCTGTAATCCCAGCACTTTGGGAGGCCGAGGCAGGCGGATCACCTGAGGTCACAGTTCAAGACCAGCCTGACCAACATGGTGAAACCCTGTCTCTATTAAAAATACAGAAATTAGCCAAGTGTGGTAGCAGGTGCCTGTAGTCCCAGCTACTCAAGAGGCTGAGGCAGTAGAATTGCTTGAACATGGGACACAGAGGCTGCAGTGAGCCGAGATCATGCCACTGCATTCCAGCCTGGGCAACAGGGCAAGATT